ATAGAAATTAAAGGATTCTTGCAGAGATTACTGAGAAACAGTCCAGCTCAATTTAGATAAGAAGTCATTATATACTTTACCGCCAGTATGTTCATTTGACCTGTTAACTCCATTTGACAGATAGAAAAGAGGAAGTATAGTGGTGTCTGTGAACTCAGAAGGTGGGAAACTTGTAGTTCACAAACCTTAACTACAAGATGATGAACCCTTTTTGATCAAGATACAAATTGTAAAAAATTTATCCATTCTATCATAACCTGGGGTGGAAAAAATGCATGCCTAGTTCTCATAGGTTGGTTCCCAATCACTTTCTACTAAGCAGCTCTCTTAAAATCTGTACCTCCAAAAATATATTTAATTAGTACCTCTTGATTCAGTATAGGCACAATGAATTTTGCACTTCCTATTTAGAGACTATGCCTTATTAATGTACAGCTTAGTAAGGAATAATGATGTCTAAAGTAAACACTTTGTATTCGCTGCTCAGTGGAAACTGGTAAGAAACCTCTGGCATTCAGCAAAATGCAATAGAGCCTGCCTGGACATACAGCACGACCAGGAGATCTCACTTTTTTCCCTTTCTTTCTTTGTTTTTTTTTGTTGTTGTTTTTTATTTTATTTTGTTTGGTTTTTGGTGTTTATTGTTTGTTGTGTTGCTGTTGTTGGTTTTTGGGGTTTTCTTGTGGGTTTGTTTGGGGGTTTTTTGTGGTTTTGTTGTGTTTTTTTTAATCAAGCTTTTTTTTTTTCTTTCTGTAGTTTGACAGTATAATTTCAAAAAAACTCCAGTATACAGTATGCTCCACTCATACTGGGGACCTCAGTACTGTATCCAGCTCTGAGGTTCCCAGTACAAGAAAAGCATGGACCTCTTAGAGTGGGTCCAGAGGAGAGCCATAAAAATGATTAGAGGGCTGGAGCACCTCTGTTATGAGAGAGCTGGGGTTGTTCAGCTTGGAGAAGAGAAGACTCTGGGGAACCTTACAGTGGCCTTTCAATGTATAAAGGGGGTTTATACGAAAGATGGAGAGAGACTTTTTACCACAGCCTGTAGTTACAAGAGAAAAAGCAATGATTTTAAAAATAGAAAGTGGGTAGGCTTGGACTGGATATAAGGAAGAAGTTTTTTATCATGAGAGTGGTAAGACACAGGATCAGGTTTGCCCAGAGAAGCTCTGGATGTTCCATCCTCGGAAGTGTACAAAGTCAGGTCAGACAGGGCTTTGAACAACCTGATCTATTGAAAGATGACCCTACCTCTGGCAGGGGAGTTAGATTAGATGATTTTTAAAGGCTCCTTCCAACCCAAACCATTCTATGATTCTATATTCCACTATTTTAGTATATATTAATTATGTATTTCAATAATGTACTTTGGAGAAAGGCTACAGGCTCAAAGCTTAAAAAAAACCAACCCTAAGAATCTCAAAAACAGTGACAGATTGGGATCTCATATCTACGTAGGAGTTGAGATGAACGCGGCACTCTATTAGAAATCTGATAATATACACCTAGACACACACCAGATGGCACGACCACGATCAGCCAGGAAAAACTTACTGTGCAGAGGACTTAAACAAGGGCCTCCCAAAATGCAGACTTACTACCCCTACCACCAGATAAACCTGTGTTGTGTCAACTTGAGAAGACAAAAAGAATGCACAGGCAGATTTTTCGCTGTGTCAAGTTTCACAGGCATATCTTGATTTTGTTTTATTCAAAAGGCATTTTGACATGGAAAAATGGAGAAAAATGGTGATCTTCCACAAATCAGGGGAACTGCCTGTTAGACGAAGAAACAATGTTGTCTCTCAACATCAACAGAAAGGTACAGTCAGGCAAGACAACCAAGACATTTGACTACAGGGACATGGAAACACATCCTCCTCAAATTTTAGCTTTATATGTTCAACAACCAAGGAAGTACAGCAGAAACTCCCACATGTAAAAGGTTGAGCTGTTAAAAAATTCACACCTGTCATGTTTCACAAAGAAAGGCACTTGACTCAACACTGGTCAGGACAAGCCTACAGCATTTTAAGTCAAGTTGCAGCTGTTAAAAAAAGAAGCTTTTTTATTTTGATCATACAGGAGATTTATTTCATTATTCCCCCATCCACTGCAGTGAGTAAGAGGGAACTCTTACTGAAAGAAGAGGCAGCAGTATCTGCAATCTTAATACAAAAAGTTTAAAAATTTACTGACAACTGTAACCGACTTCATTAAAACCATGATCACAGTCAATGCTCCTCTAAGTAAAACCAGTAACATGACAGCTAAAATGGTGCATGGAGACCACAGTCATGCCTTTAGACATGCTAAATAATTTTTGAAAACTAACATGTTTCTAATAACAGCATTAAACTGGACAAGTTTATCTAAATTAACGATCAGCTGTACTTAAGTAGTATGATCAGTATCAACCATTATGACTCAATCAGATAAAATCTCATCAAGCACAATTACCCTCTCCATACAAAGGGCAAAAGCATGTCGATAAACAATGCCAATGATCAAATTTTCCAAATGTAGCCACTTAAAAATGATTGAACTTCCACAGTTGATGCTGAGACTTAGGCATGTTATTTTATGTTTCTCGATAATAGCATCTTTAACAGCACTAAGTGATAGGAGTCAAAATTAAATAAGAATGGCTTTTATAACTGTCACCAAACAGCAGTAACTCTTGCTGCAGGCCTAAACAGAATTTATATAAATTAAAAGGAGGGAACCAGAATTAATTTTAAGTAGTCTGTTCATTGTATTTGTAGTTTTTCAATATGAGGGTGGTAGATCACTGAAACAGGTTGCCCAGAAAGGTAGTGGAGGCCCCATCCCTGGAGATACTCAAGGTCCAGCTTGATGTGGCTCTGAGCAACCTGATCTGGTAACATTGTCCCTGCTCACTGCAGGGGGGTTGGGCCAGATGATCTTTAAAGGTCCTTTCCAACCCAACACATTCTATGATTCTATGACCTATTTTTTAATATATCAAAAAAGACACGCAAGAATATGGCAAATATCTTCTAAACCAGTATCTAGCAAGTCTTATAAAAGCAGAGGCTTGGAGGAAGGGAGATATGGATTCAAATATCAAGAAGGTGTGGGAAGAGCACTTATCAAGAAACAGCACCAATGTTCCTAGCTGAAAAGACCATTTGGGACTGCTCTACTCAACCAATACTTGAAGGCTTCAGTGATCCCATACTGCTTAATGTGATCTGAGCTCAAAGCAACAGAAATAAGGATTCCTGGAAAGGAAGCATTGTTCCACATGCTGTTGAGGTCACCTGCATTACAGTAGGAACTGCCATGACTACTTCTAATGGTTCCTGCTTAGCTGCTTCAGCTGCTCCTTGGCACAAGTTGAAAAGCACATGTACCTCAGACTGCTCTCCATAAAACTTCTTCGCTAAAGGAATAAACACACAAGCATTTTTTTCTTGCTTATGCCTGATAGCAAAAGAAAGCTTCTACTCTGAGGGCCTTCAAAAGAAAACTGGTAAGTTAATAGTGCTGACCTAGGTGAAATTCAAAAGCAGCCTCAAGTTAATATTTGAGTTGATCATTCAGAGATTTTTATGCCTTCTTTTGTTAGGACAAAAGTGTAAACTAACAGGGCTTGAATTTCATCACTACTCTAAGACAAGTGATAGCTGCTACAAAAGCTGTCTGCCTGAAGATGTGCCGCAGCAACCACTTTAAAAGGCTGACTTGTAACACTGGGGAATAGGATCACTCCCCGAGGGTAAAATCTTTACTGAGCTGTGAAGAGACTGATGGAACACCTAATTCTGAAGGCACAGAAAGGCTCACTGCTACCAACACAAACTCAGCTCTTCAGTTGCCACAAAGGAAAGAGGGGCAAAATTATGTGCTTCTCCTTTCCTTTGGAGTTGCTATAACAGACTACATGAATCAATGTAGCAGAAAGGACTGCTTGCAGCTGATCCCTCTGCAGACAGAAGGCTTGGAGAGTGTGGACAGTGAAGAAGGTAAAGCAGTAGTACCTGATGAAAAATAAACTAGCAATTTCTTTCAGAATACTCACTGGATTTCCTACAGATCCCAGGATGATGCCAAAGACCTAAAAATACAATAAATACAGGGTTTTCCCTTGGTCATTTCTAGGATCGCAGGCTTAAAATACCTGAGAACTTGTTGATACGTATGTGGTGATCCTCTAAACAAAAGGGGAAGATGCAGACGAACACCTGAAAGAGTATTAAACCACAAAATATGGTCGGAAGTCTAATGTTTTAGGTAGCGGGCTACAGAAGGGCCATGAAAAATAAACAATAAAAACAAGCAAATCAAAGACAGGTAATAGATCAAAAGACAGGTAGCTGATAAGATATAAGAGCTATCACTTAATCTGTAGGCTGGGTCAGGTTCCAGCCTTGTTGAAGTATGTGAAGTAAGAGGTAATAGCAATGTTAGTGCTAGACCAGAGAAGTCCAAGGTTTAAAGCATATGCACCCTTTCAATCTAAGCATGACTTTGCTTAAGCACTCAGAAGTCTCTGATCTTTTTTAATAGAAGTTTCAAAAGTGGAACAAAATTGGCTTGATATTACTTAGTTTGTCACTGAGAAAATGGTAAGAAGATTGCATAGCGCTTTTGTGAAGCACATCTACAGCCTTGCAGGACAAGTGACAAAACTATGATTTCTATCTTCATAGAGTTACAGAATATCAAAACAAGTTATTGTTGGCATGAAAAGCTAGTGACTTGACATTTCAGTTTGATGTTTACTTGAGTGGATCTCTTTTGAAAAGATTTTGATTAAAAAGTTGTTTCAAGGCTCTAACAAAGGATCCTAAATTGGCCAAGACCTGCACAGAAACAAGCTTTAAAGATTTCATACTTTAAGTATTTGGTTACTTCGAACAACTTATTGCTATAAAATTAGTTTGCAAACTACTGACAAACCAAGATTGTAGAACATACACAACATTTGCTAGAATACATTACATTTCAGGGTCACCTTCCAGTCTCCTCACCTCTTGTCCTGAAAGGTAGTACGCTGCTAGAAGACCGCCAATGAAACGAATATTGACCTCAAAAACAGACACTTCGGAATTCTAGAACAGAAAGAAAGTAAATAATTTAACAGTTTTCTAATCAAATATGAAAAAAAATCATCAAGGCAGAGCCAAGTACATACCCTAAACCAATCTGCATGTAAGGGTTTGCACTGTTTCAGTATCTAGATCCATACTGAAATTCCTGTGCACATCTTCACAACAGCAAGTGATAATTCTAGTCACAGCTTCCACTGATTTTTAAAAATCAAATTGGTTATTATCCTGCTCTCTAATCATATTATCATCAAAAAGTGCAATTAAAGTTGTTTGGAGATAGTGAGAAAGAAGGCAAAGACTACATTTCCATAATTCAGCATCTTTTCTCCTATGTTGAAGCAAACCGCCAAATCTTCTGGGTTTACAGGATAAAGTAGAACAATTAGATAATTTCTATAATGTCCTTTCGTAAATTGAATTACCAGTGTGCAATCTCAAATACAGAGTTCCATTTAAACATAGCCTCTATCAGGAATACCCTTTAAGTAGTTAATGTTACGGCAACAAGTACTGCAAGACCACTGAGAAACTCAAGAAAATAAAACATTTTACTGCCTTTCTCCACATTCATATCCTTGGGGTAAGTTCACCAATACCTTTTGACTCATTTAACCCATTGTAAAATTAAGAGAAACTAGATAGTTTTAACATCTTTCTGCCTCCCTCTGCACTCCATTCACTCTTTTGCCTGCATACACTCTATCTGTCTCCCCCACAAACTTCTCTTCATTCAACCCATTAGACACAGAAATCTAGTTTTATTAAAATATTTTGTGATAAGAGAGACTTTTCCTTTTATCCAGTCAAGTCACTACAAGGTACTCTTGACTCACCAATTAGCACACAGTTGAAATGAAATGTATGGGTACGTCTTTCCTTTCACATTATTTCTATGGCACATGCAGTTGTATCATGCATTTCGCTTGTATCCAAAATAAATGCATTTTACACATATCACTTATTTCAAAAAGATTATATGAATACTTTAAAGATTTCCTCAAATAGCACTGATGATTAGAAGTCTAAAGTTTGAATACTCTCAAATATAGGCTTTTAGTAAGAGACTTATTTTATTCACATACAGGAGATACAAAAAAAATCTCAACAAAGCAGCATGATTCCACTTAATACCTGTTAAAGTCATGAATCACACAAGCAATGGTACAGTGTAGAGCGAAACCAATGATTTCTATTTCCCAGTAAAAGAATCAAAGAGGAACAAATTTATGTATTTATTTATAAACTTCAAATCATATAAGGAAATTGCTCAAGTCTGGTGTATATATAAGACAACCCATTAACCTTCAGAAATGTTTTCTGCTACACAAGCTGTATTCGAATCCCAGTGGGTCATGTAAATTTCTTCCACCCAAATCCTAGATTAATTCTGCAAATTTATACTGAGATTGCCTTAGATCAGACAAAAGTTATGGAAGTATTTTAGTTCACCCTCATAATGGTGCTATTATGTCTACACAGCGATATATTTAGGGTCTTCAACTTTAGACTGAAAAATTATCTGGCACGAACTGAAAAAAGCAGAGTAGAATTTCTTTAATCTTCATCACACAGTCAATGTATAAAACAAAATGAAAAAACAAATAATTTCTGAGATGTAGGATAATATAAAACTAACAGTAAGCACCTGCTCAATTCTGACTGTATATCTACATTACATTTTGTGCATTACTGAATGAAAAATTATTTTTGGAAACACAGGGCAAGTCCAAGGATTGAAATACAAATTGCACCACAGAGACTATAACAGTCCCAAAATTAGTAATAACAACATTAATCAATAAAGATAAAATAAAGCCATTTCTTCCACTTAATGCTTCCAAACTCTGCACAGACGAAGAATGTCAGATGCTGTATGACCTATTGGAAAATCCTTGTGATAGATTCAGAACCTGTAGGCAAACTAAGACGACTCACGTGGCATTCTTCATGTTAAAACATCTTAGCCACATGGAAGAAGAGGAGATTGTATTGTTAAGTAATTTAGGCACTGCAGTTTGGAAGGGAAATTGTGTCTCTCTGCTCAGCTATTTCCAACTACTTTCAGCTAGTAAAGTCTCATCTTCCTGCATTTCTGAGGCTTCACTGGTTCTCATTGACCACTTTCCCTTTCTTCCATTAACCAATTATAATCAGTACTTGGAAAATACAATATATAGATGTAACTTTACTTGGAATTAAAGTGTGAAAGGGTTGGGATGAGTTTTGGTTTGCATGTTTTGGTTTGGGTTTTTTCCAAAATAAAGTTACAAACACAGAGAACTTCACTAAGGCTTACATCTTATGATTTGAATCATAAGTTTTTAAGTTCCAGCTGAAAGACCACTTCTCTCTCCCTTCAAGAGGGACACTGTGAAAAGAACTAGAGAAATATTAGAGCAAGCTCTACTCACCACACTGAAATCAAGGTTTTTGTCAATCCACTCTTGTCCTTCTCTGAATTCATCGTGAAGCCCCATGATATAAAGAGTGTCCAATGCATCTACTATGGTAGCACCCATTTGTGAGTTTCCTACATGTAAAAAGAAGAATTTCTATTACAAGTGATTATTTCATTACTTGTCTTAAACATTACAAGCATGAGAAAATAACCCAAGCTGTAGAAAAGCAAAGTTATTATAAAGATGACAGCACAAAGAATAACCAAAATGAGCAAGAAATTAGCTGCTACATAAGAGGATCACACTTCTCTTTCAAAGCATCACTCCCCTGGCACTGTTTGGCTCCTGGGGAGAAAGGAATACTAAATACAGGAAAAAAAACGCTTCTCATCTGCTTTTCTAACCTGAACATGAGCAACCGTACTTTGACACACACACACAAAAAAAAGACAGAAAGACATTCAGCTTCAAAAAGCTATTACAAATTCTAGGCCAAAAGTGTTAAAAAATAGCATATGCAAGATAAAGCTATCGGTATTTGCAGTAATGTCTTGCATTTCCCAACATTTACTACCGAAACGTTCCAAGTTTTGCAATTACAGAAGCTACCGAGTCACTGAAAGCATGGACTGAAAGCAGGGATGCCCTGGCTTGGCCTGACAGATAAAGCCCCAGCCCAAAAGATGTTCACTCACTGCCTGCAGGGACCCACACTATGGGCTGCTAATGGATCCCCCAGTCACCATTTAAAGTGGAGCATTTAAAGCCAAATAAAAGTCAATGGCCCTTTACACCGAAATGCCATACACTTGAAACAGCAACAATTTGGAGTTGATTTATGAATGACTCATCAGTTTGTACAAGGGAGACAGGATGAAGAGGTGGTGAGTCATTGCCGGTGTTAGCCTTGACGGCCTTAGGCCATCCCAACCTAAGCTACTGTCCGTAGTAGGCAAAGGTCTTTGTTTCCAGAGGAAAGCAAAAATTACCACGGGTTTATTTATTCTCATGGAGTGTATAAAACTTGCTACGCACTAAGAAAGTAGCTGAATTTCACTGTTCATACCAGTATTCTATAAAACAGTACAATAATTTTATGATTAGCAATTTAATGACAGTAGTCTCCTAACAAGTTAAGCCAATTTTATGTCTTTTAATGTGCTTTTCATCCATAATGAAATCTCTACAGCACAGTGTTCCTGCCTGGCTATTTCTATTAATTAATTTCTGATTTTCACCTGTTTAGATCTTTTTCCCCTCAAGTATAGCAATAGCTGAATGAAGCCACCAACCCACTGTATCTCTTTTACACACCTAAACGACTGATACTTACGCACAAACTTAACTCCATTTTCAGGGACTTCGTTACCCAAATAATAAAAATTAAACAAAACAGTCTCTATGGCAAAGTAATCGCCAACTAATTTCTTCAAAAAATAGCCATGCCTCTCTTTTAATTAAACTAGATATGGAAATCCTGAAGTCAGCAGTGTTTGTTAAGAATATACAAGCACAGATCAGGACACACTACCTTTTGCAAGATTAATTAAAAGAGATATCCTTTGACAAATTGGCCAACAGGCATACCTATAACTCTCAGGAAATGAATTCACCCTGGTGCATAAGTACTTCAAGGTTTAATGCCTTCAGTCAAATGACAAATTCCATCACTTGTGCTGAAGTGGAGGTCGCTTTGAGCAGAGCTAGAGCATGCACTTAACTTCGCACCTTTTCATAAGCATAATGTGACAGTTATCTAATTTATCACTTCAAAAATATGCAAATCAGACCATGACACAGGGTCTAGCTTCTATATTAGCTGACAAGGTATTTTTGACATAAAGTTGGAATGTGTTATACTGCTATAGCACTCAAAGTGATTTTCGTTTTTTTATTTAAATCACATTGATAATTTTTCAAATACACAAGGTGTTTGAACAAATAGGGATACATAGCCTTGGGAAATTGACAGCTCCTCTTGTAACAATATCAAAACATAAAAACCTTCTAACTTAAACACAATGATAACTGCATCACTAAGTAATCATATTCTGTAATTGGTACAGGGTGAGAATACATTGCATGGGGATGGATTAGTGTTGTCATCCTCCTCCCAACCCAGAAAGAGTTCAGACACCACTGTACTATCATCCACGGTTTTCTAGTTCTCAAAAGTACGTTCAAGTGCCCACAAGGAGGGGCAGCAGTATATTGGGCACAAGAATATCTATATTCCAGCTCTGCAGAAAATAGCCCCAAAAATCACACATTTTAACAAACTTTTTCATAGAGTTCTCTGGACAGATCCATGGAAGAAGGGCCATGGAAATGCAAAAGCCCATGATTCAATCCAATACACACATCCAGAGAGTAGAAAGGCCAGAACTGCTTGAATAGAGCTCTCTCTAGAATTGACCAAAAGTGTCCATGGTTTCCTAATGCATCCCATAGTGAATGAACAACAGGACTTCAAACACAGACAAGAAATTTACTTTCATCCTCAAGGTGTTAAAAGTGAGCCCTCAAGTCCATATATAGAAATCTCACCTAAACCAGTATCCCTCAGTAGTGACTAAACGACAACCTGTTTCACACAAAATCCTCCAGTGTTGTTTGCGGCCACACAAATAAATGCAGTCAGATAGAGCAAAACAGACTTGCTCTGCATTTTTGCCCCTAAGAATCAATTAAAGGCATAGGTTCATACTCCAAACTTTTGTCTGGGCCACACTCCACCCTACTGCCTTTTTGCCCCTTCCTCTCATCTTTCATGTCTGTCTTCCTAGACCCACAAACATTCAACAAAACATTACTGAGTAAAGCCCTTCTGCTCACATGTGCCTCTTCTTGAGATGCTGCTGATCAGTATGGTTAGAGTTTCTAGACTCCATGTGAGAGCTCAAGTATTTCTTACCATGGTCTCCTAAGGATACCAATTTGTTACCCAATCCATAATAAATTATTCCGTTTTCTTCTTTCTTATGAATAAGTAGGCTATTTCAACCAAATCTGGTTTCTTTTTCCTTTTTCTTCTAAAACATATGGTAACTAATCCTAACCACACCCCAGCACTTCTTCATTGAGGAAGACTTAGAAGGACAATCTATGTTTTTTAACACTTTCTGGTTGAACACATTTCCAAAAGTTCAAGAGACAAGAAGTCAATAGTTTGAAACATACTGACTACCAACTCTTCTCCCTTTAGTGTCAATCAGCACAAAGCAAGCTAATTCCCTCCTGCCAGGCATTGAGGGAGAAGACTCCAAAATGTAGAGTTCATACCCTACAGGGGTATGGCACCCTTGTGCATACAGGAATAGAGGACAGAGCTGGACATAAGGCAACACAGAGGAAAATACACTTAATGTAACACCTTGGCTGTCCCATATTGCAAGATAGGCGCAACTTAAATCCATTTGGTGGGCTGCACTAGGTTGAGTTAGAGTGTAAAATTAATTAATTGCTCTCAGCTTCCTTCTTGGAAGCCTATGGGGAGAAGATGTCATTCTTAATTTGTTCCTAAATAACAGCTTCTACTCAATTCTTCTGTACCTGCTGAGGTCCACAGCCAGAACAGTTGATGTTGTCACAGCAGTCCTCCTCAGTCTTAAAATGCACTGCACTACCAGCAAGGCAGTAGCTGAAATCTGAAGCAGGAAGAAACAGCAAGTATTCAAAGATCACTGGTCTACATTAGGGTCACCCATGGTGCTACAGGGAAAACCAGACTGCAATGGATAGGCATCCTCCTGACGTTGATACAAACCATTCAGTCCAAGACCACAAAGAAAAATAATTTTTCATTCATAATAGAGTATGGTTTTTTTTCCCTTTCACAACCATGCTAAGATTCATAAATTTTGCCCTAAAGGACAAGACAATAGTCTTCCTGGACTTAAAACTGCAGAAGGTGTAATTTGAAAAGTAATAAAGTAATTCTGAACAATGAGAGAACAGTTTAGAGGGGTATACGCTGCTTACTACCACCTCAACCAGCCTGGTCTGTTATTGTTCCAGAAACAGAGAGAGCAGCTGTCTCATTGTGGTGAAAAAGGCTTTAAAACAATTAAATTATAATAGAAAATGACTCCTCTCCTAGCTGAAGGCACTCCTCCCAGGGTCTGCCTCTGTTCAATACAAGGTTCAGTTGGTCATGTTGCATAAGGTAACTGATTCCAAAAGGGCTCAGTTTTACAAATGTTAGATTATTAGAAAGTTTCCTCTCCATATAATTATAGTTCTAGTTGATTGAGCTCCAAATTTAATGACGTTTGTCTAATGAATGCAGTGCTCATTATTCTAAATAAAACAGAACATCCATCATAAGCTAATGGAAGGAATTTAGCAATGAAATAGCTGCACTATTAACAAAATCGTGCACACTCTCATTAAGCGAGAGTATCATTCCAAAGGACTGCAAAACAGTAGTCAGATTTATATTTAGGTAGACTTCAGTTTCCTGAGATTAGACAAATAATTCCTTCACTTGACAGCACATAAATCTAGAGTCTGAAATATCCAGCAAATCATATGAGTAAGTTAAACAGCAGGGCCATTAAAAGAAAAATGGTCTTCCTATCTAAAATTCTTTCAGTATGCTGAAGCGCTAGAGGAAGAACAGTTTATTTATACCATTTCAAAGTCTCAGAAGAGACTATCAAAGCACATGGAGACAGACTGTTGTCATGCGTTTCATGACGAAAGGGATATGAAGAAAATAAATACCCCATTTCCATTGTAACGTAAGGATAAGTAAAGAGATTTAGAGAGTCTGATACCAGCTACAGGGTTGCTTAGTGTATTTATTATGTGGAAGCAGAAGAGTAGTGAAGCAGTGAAGTACTACAGAAAATACGTGAACTAGCATTGACCAATTACCACCAGAGAAGATTATGAAAATCTGAGACACAGCCTCCCTATGTAAATAATGAACAAGATGACAAATTAAAACTCTATGCCAGAAAACTTAAGTCATGCACTCAGAGTTGAAAAGTAATCATCAGACAGGTGTGTCACAGAAACTTTGATTATTTGACATGTTGCCCTTATCTTCAACAGGTATACACCACACATGAATCTCACTACTGCTTCTGAAAAACACTTCCATGGGGGCTTTCAGTAGTCTGAGTTG